TAGTGCCTCATCATCTAGCTCATCATTGCCTAATTCGGCTAGTGGATCATGAAGGCCTAGACCATGGCGAATGAATCCCTGCATGAGATGACACCAGGGAGATAAGCTGATTGGCTGAGAGAGACTCTCTGATGTCATATTCTTCAGGGTTCTAGATAGAACCTTAGAAGATAGGGGTTTGCAGGTCCAGTGATCATAAAATAATAGAAAATGAGCCTCAGGCAGCTTCTGATTCAGCTGAATAAGCAGGGTTTCTTCAAAAGGTCGGATATAAGCGAGATAGGCTAGTACCAAATAGGAAAGGGACTGGGGTAAAGCCCTAACTGCCTCTTTCTCCTGGCCAGTATGACTGAATGTTTTGGAATAAGCTAGCCTAATTAGGAATAGCCTGCTCACTGGATCCAGAAAGAGGTTGCGTGGGTTGATAAGGGTATTCTGCCAGATCACCTGATTGATCTCAGTACCCCTAGCCGGGGCGCCACTAGTCATATGGCAGAGAGCTAGTAGCTGTTTCAGCCAGGCACTAGAAGCATCTAGAAATGCCTTAGCCCTAGCCCTGACTAGCTGTAGAGTGGGTCCACTAGGGCCTTCCACCTGAATGAACCAATCTGAACTAGGGAGAACCTTCTGAAATAGATAGTCATGTGACCCCTGATCTAGGTAGGCCTGCAGAAATGACCAGCTATTAGCCTGCTGACTAATATCTTCAAACTGGGAAGCCCTGTCAAGATCTAATATGTGCTGGATCTCGCGAAAATAGCCGAAATCCAAAAATAGATCATTTGATAGGGCTAGGGCAAGCTGCTGCACCTGCTGGGCAAGGAAGTGCCTCAGGTGACCCTGAGAGATAGTCACCTGACCATATTTTAATGTGTGGGGTGCCACAGGGTGAATTTTGCCTAGTGAAGCACTATTCTGAATTAGGTATAGTGCTAGCATGCGCAGAACTAGTACATGACCTAGGGGTGATTCTGATTGGCCAGTGAAATGCTTAGTCATCCAATTACGAATAAAAATAGCCATGGATTCTGGCTGGCTCTCTGGAATGGTGAATGGTTCAGTGTGCAGCCAATGAAGCAGAATGAATTGGTGTGATTTGATGATAGCTGAATATGAATGACTAATCAAAGATAGGGTTTTGAAACAGTCATGTGAATAGTTTCGGCTAAAGCAGGCTAGAAAGGCATAAAGTGGGACCTCTCTCTGGTGAATGACATTCCGCCTAGCCAATTGGAGGGTGAGATTCATGACTAGCCTAACCCCTTTTTGGACTAGCTGCTCATCTAGTGATTCACTAGGCAGCTGAGGGGGTGCCTGAGGCAGGGCCTCATCTTCCTCATCAGAATCTAGATCATCATCTAGATCATCATCTAGATCAGCCTCAGGCATCTGCTCAGAAGGGCTAGCATGAGATAGATCAGATGATTCAGATGATTCAGATATATTAGGGTCAGAAACCCTAAGAAGTAAGGCTTCTAGGGCTTCTAGATCAACCCTCTCCTGATCAGTTAGGGTATAGAGCCCTAGATAGCTGCTAGGGCCACCCCCAGATAGGTGCCTGAAAGAATTGAGGAGAAAGGCTAGATAAGCCTGAAAGATTAGGGCATAACCCCTCATGCTAGTAGCATTCTGCAGAGCCCTAAGAGGGCGTAGAGATGCCTAATTAATTAGATCTTGACTGAATGAGTTGATTGCCGCTAGTGATTGGGTACTAGTGTGTTTCATCTGGTTCTGACCCAGAGATAGCAGGCGGTGACTAATGGCAAATAGATAGGCTGACTGATCTAGATCATCTAGAGTGAATACTCTCTCTAGCTCAGCTGCATCTTTCCCATTTAGGAAGGTGGGGTATCCACTCTCACTAAAGAAGCTACTAGCCTCATGGGTAGCATCTAGCACCTGGATAACCCTAGATGCCTTCAAATTCTGGCGGTGAGCCTGGAATGAGGCCAGGTATGATTGGTGAATGGTTGATGCCTCAGGCTGGGCAGGGTTTGGTGAATGGACCCTAGATTGCTGGTTGGAGGGTGCAGGGGCTGAGCCAATCAGGGAGGGTTCCCTAGTTCATTTACAGCTAGCTAGGGCGCTAGTAGATGCCTGATTAGGCATAGTGGCAGGGTTAACCCTAAAGAGATAGCGATTCCCTTCTAGGGCCTAGAGGAGGCATGATGTCATCTGGGCATCCTGGGGGCCATATCCATTAATCTGGTGAATATCATGGATATGATTGCGCATGGTTCGCTGACTAAGCCGAATATGTTTGCAAATTTTGCATTCAAAACCCTGCTTAGGGCTAGCTAGGGTTAGAATATGGTCAATAGGCTGCTCAGTCATAATCAGATTATGGCTAGTAGCTAGGGGTGCAACCCTAATGGAATCTAGGGCTTCCCTAGTCACATGGCTCCCAGGGTGCTCAGTAGCTAGGTGATTAGAAATTTTAGTAGGGTGAATAGCAATTTTGCAAATAGAACAGGTAAGTAAGAAATATTCACTATAATAGGTGAAGAATGGGGGTAAGATATCAGCCATAGTGAATAGTAGATAGTAAAAAAAGTGAAATTTTCAGGCAGAAATATGAAATGTAAGAGAAAATAGGGAATCTTTTAATATAAAGATGAAATATAATGAAAAATAATGAAATTTGCAAGCAGAAAGATGAGATATAATAAAAAAATAATGAAATATATAAGTAGAAAGATAAGATATAATGAAAAATAATGAAATTTATAAGTAGAAAGATGAAATATAATAAAAAATAGTGAAATTTTCAGGCAGTAAGGTAGTAATGATAGATAAGATGATTTAATAGAGAAGAATGGTTGGTGAGTAGTAGAGATGAGAGGGAAGAGAGGGAATAGTAGAGATATATATATCTTAGGTAGGTCAGGTAGGCAGGTAGCAGCCATATCTAATACAATGGTCTAGAATTGAAAACAGATGATTCACATGGCTAGATAGATAGGTAGATGACACATATGGAATGTTGCTGCCTAGCAGAATGATCTAGAATGTAGATTTATAATTCACAGATAAGATATCTAGTGATCTGATTAGCTAGAGATATGACTTTAGGCAGCCACCTTCCATGGTAGTGAGTCATAAGATGTGAATAATTTGAAATTAGGCATTCACTTGGTAGATCTAGTGATCTGATTAGCTAGAGATATGGTTTTAGGCAGCAATATTCCTTGGTAGTGAGGGGTAATATGAGTCAGATTTGAAATCAGGTTTTCGGCAGCTAGATGTAGTAATCTGATTGGCTAGAGATATGGATTGGGCAGTGACATTCCTTGGCAGTGAGGGGTAGCATGTGAATAATTTGAAATCTGGTTTTAGCCAGGCTAGATCTAGTCAGTCAGCATGGTAGGTAGATAGGTATGATCCCACTAGGGCGTGAGGCCGGCCTAAATAGATAGGTAAATCTAATAATATATATCCCTCCTTGATTCCCTTCTCTAGGTAACAGAATATATTCATGTTTCATTTTATATTTCTCACACCCACCTATATATATATATATATATATATATATTGCTCTTCTCTGTGATCCATTCCTACCTTTTTATCTACTACTAGGGCCTGTTGACACCTTTATATTTAGGCTATCTAGAGCTATTTCAAGGTAAGGACTAATCTTTATAGAAGATATTCACTATTGCATGCTGATCAGTCTATCCCACAGGGGGCGGAGGACCCTACTAGAGGCTGAGTTAGGGTCTGGCCTGAAGGAGGATAGCGGGGGGCTTGGCAGAGAAGGGTCTAACTTTTGAACTAGAGGGTAGGGTCGTGGTGCCAGATGGGGTCATACACATTTCAAATTCAGACAGCTTACTGGTTGGCTAATTCCGCATGATCTGACCAAATTTCAATAGGGAATTCGATGATTTATAGATGTGGTGAGGGTGTGGTTCATATACAGAATTTTGATGTGGTTCATTCCCGCAGAATAGTATAGATTAGAATAGCACTGTCCATAAACAACCCATGGCTGCAGAGGTGGTTATAGGCAGTTTAAATTTAGCTAGTTTACTGATATACTAGTCCTAAGCTATGTACCCAAATTTCAGTATCAAAATCAATGATTTATAGCTATAATGAGGCATATTCCATCCCTAGATCTGGTGTGGTTTGAGTCCCTATAGATAGAAAAAGTAATGCCCATAAAGAAATTCAGGGGCTGAATCCCATCATCATTTAGATAGTTAGTTAAATAGTATTATATTCATCCGAACCATCCATAAAGAATGGAACAGCAGCTATTCATCCAGCTTAACCAGCCACTAATCATTATCTGCCGGACCTGCCGCCATAGAGTGTGGCCAGCTGAGGTGGAAAGCCATCTCCAGGGGAAAGCCCATTAATTACCCTAGGCCACTGCAAAGCAGATCCATCAGGTCATCCAGATATGGGAGGGTGTGGAGCATGACCCCTAAGCTATTTAATAGCCTAGTCAGATTACCTAGTCCATTCCCCACATGGATGAATATCCTGATGGGTTACTGTGCCAACACAACCAGGCCAAATGCCAGTTCATCACCCGGTCAATCAATAAGATGAAACGCCATTAGCGCGAGTATCATGGGTGGAAAGTCCTATATAAGGGGGGTCGTCCAAGTCACTAGGAGCAGGAGCAAGTGCAGAATACAGTCCAGCAGGGATATCAGGTAGTGACCTACCAGTGGTTTTTCCTATCCCAAAAAGGGTCCCATTACATATACATTCACCAGCTAAATGACCGCCCACCACCACCGCTAACCAATGCCATCCAGACCGCAGTAGATGAGGTAATATAGGCATGGGAGCAGGCCCAGGCCCAGGCAAAGGCTAATCAGGTGATCCAGGCCAGCTAGATCACCGATGCAAACCCCTGGCTGCGGATGACTCAGTGGGCCGAGTATCTGCAGGGCACCCAGGCCCATGACCTGCTAGCCTATGTGGCAGCCCCGGAGGAAGATCCCCAGGATGCCATAGAGCAGCGGGTGCAGGTTATCTAGGATACCATGAAGCAGGTGGCCTGTAAGAGCCAGTAGACAGTCCAGTATTGCGGCCAGGCCATCTGGGTGGAAGCCATCCAGTCTAAAAAGGGATAGACCCCATACTGGCCGCTGCTGGCATACATGGATGAGGCAGTGATTAAAAAGCATATACAGCCATGGCAGCAGATATTAGCATTTATTGCCCGCACGCAGGCCCCGCACGACTGGACCAGCCCAAAATACAGGATGACCGCCCGGCAGCGCAAGAAATGGCAGCAGCTGTGGCAGTTAGCTAGCCAGGCCCTGGGTAGCCCCGACCCAGATCCCATCGGGGATGTGGAAGACCCTGGGACATGGGCCATGACTGCCATTGAAAAAGCATGCTTAGAATTTTGCATTGAGCTGCTCAACCAGCGCCATCGCAGCCACGAATATGAGAGTGCATTGGTATGCGCCATGGCAGTGTTAGGGCAGGGGGAAACTGGCTGGCGGGACCCTGAGAGTTATCCACCCATATTATCCTGGGTCATCAAGATCGCACGGTTCATGGTGGTCCAGAAGGCGTTATGGATGGATCCCAACCCACAGCAGATCATTCAGACCTGGGTGCGGAAGGACCAGAGCGCCAAATGGGTGCTGGCCAGCGCGGATGATCAACTCAGGGAGATTGATGAGGGATATGGCAGCGACGACCCCCCATCCACCCCAGGGCCCCCGTCATCGCCCCCGTCATCCATCTATAGTGATGACCCACTGCCCGCGGTCAATATTCGCCATAGCCGCCAGCCATTCCAGGAGCAGGTGACATGGATGATGCACCAGTTTATGATCCGCGGGACCCATGGGCCCATGGAAACATTGCTGGATTAGCGGACATATGGGCTAAAGGTCCATTATAATCATACGGCCCCCGGCCATGTGACATGGATGGGGGAGGACCAGCTGTTATACCAGCAGATGGCATTCACCATGGGGGATTTTCGGGGGTTCATCCATGGGTTAGTCACTGCGGCGCGGGAGATACTGGGCCAGTTATGCATGCAGGATCATGCGCAGATGCCCCCTATTCCATGGACGGCATTATATGACGATCCTAGCCAGAGCCAGGCCGGGTGGAACTTCGTGCAGGACGCACGGACCCGGTGGCCGGTGGATGGGACCCACTGGATGATCGACCGGCTGCGGGCCGAGCCGGCCATGCAGCGGCATTTCCTGCGGGGGGGCCGATTCCACTGCAGTGCCATCTAGCAGTACTGGCAGCGCGTGGCCCAGTTCAAGGAGAAATTGGCCATTCTGGTGCATGTCACTGCGGGGCAGCCAGCCCGGGCCCCAGAGTTGTTAAGCATTCAGCATTGCAACACGGTGAATAGTCAACAGCGGAATATATATATCGAGGATGGCATGGTGATGTTTGTGACGGCATATCATAAGGGGTTCCATGCTAGTAATGATGTGAAGATCATCCATCGATATGTGCCCCGGGAGGTAGGGGAGTTGGTGGTATGGTATATCTGGCTGGTAATGCCATTTATCAACCAGTTGGCTGCATGGCAGGCCGCGCAGGGAAGCCAGGCCGCGCAGGGGAGCCAGGCTACGCAGGGAAGCCATGGCATGCAGGGAAGCCGGGCCGCAGAGGGGAGCCAGGCCGCGCAGGGAAGCCACGGCATGCAGGGGAACCAGGCCATGCAGGCATGGTTATGGGGCCCCGACCCCGGTACCGGCCGCGAATGGTCGTCCGAGCGGTTCCGGGAGGCATTGAAACGGGAAACCCGCACCCAGCTAGGCACCGCCATCCATATTGCTGCATACCGGGACATCGCCATTGGCATTAGCCGCCGATTTTTGCGGCCGTCCACCGCGTTCCCCCATAATATCCAGGAGGCCGAGCCGGCCCCAGCTGCCATGGATGCCGATGCCAAGGAGGGCATGGATATTGAGCAGTGGATAGGCCATATTGCCAATTTACAGGCCGCCCATTCATCCCACGTCGCCGGCATGGTATATGGCCGTGTCATGCAGGAACAGGCCGGCAGCACAGCCCACCGGCGGGAGATGTTCCGGTTATCCAGCACCGATTGGCATCAGTTTTTAGGGTTTGGTGCCCCGGGCCACCCATCCATATTAGGCAAGCGCAAACGGGCCCCGTGGGAGGATGAGGCCGAGGTCAGCCGCATGGAACACCGCCACCAGCTGGCCACCATGGATCTGGAGGCGGCCGCGCAGCGCATGACCGGGCGGCCCGACATGCAGTTCCGGGGGGTGCAGGACCCGGCCATGCGGGCCATCCAGCAGGGGGAGAGCCCCGTGGTCGCAGTCATGCCCACTGGCAGGGGCAAGAGCATGCTGTTCATGGTGCCCGTGTTCGCCGCCCCCGGGGGCACCACCATCGTCGTGGTTCCGCTTGTCGCATTACGGGCCGATATGACAAGACGGTGCCAGGAGCTCGGCATATCATGCGTGCCATGGGAGAGCCGGCAGCCCCCCAATGCCGCATCCATCATGTTGGTGACGCCCGAATCCGCGGTCAGCCCCGATTTCCAGACGTTTTTGAACCGGCTGCGGTGGACCCGGCGGTTGGACCGGATCGTGATCGACGAATGCCATGTAGTATTGAATTCCCAGCGCGATTTCCGGCCCCAGATGGCCCAGCTGGGCCGGTTAGTCCAGGCCCGCACCCAGATGGTATGGCTGACCGCCACGTTGCCCCCGAGCATGGAGGCCGAATTATGCCGGCGGATGAAGCATGACCGGGCCGCTGTGACCATATACCGGGCCCGGACCAGCCGGCCGAACGTGGCATACCGCGTGTGGCGGCCGGACATGACCGGGGTGGGCCGGGGGCCATATGAGTGGATCGAGAGCGAGGCCGTGGTGGCATTCATTCAGGACCGCATCCGACGGGCCGCCGGGGGGAAGGTGATCATATATGCAAATATCATCGGGCAGGTGACGGCCATGGCGCGGGTGCTCGGGTGCGAGGCGTATTACAGCGAGCAGTTGGACAAGGCTGGGGTGCTGGCGCGGTTCATGGGGGCCAGCCCGGTGGTCGCCGCCACCAGCGCGTTAGGCATGGGGGTGGACATCCCCAATATCCACAGCATCATCCATCTCGGGACCCCCCGGACGTTACTGGATTACACGCAGGAGAGTGGCCGGGCCGGGCGGGATGGACAGCACAGTGAGGCGATCATTATCCAGCCAGCAGGGTGGGATGCCCCAGCCCCATGGATGGAGGGGGTGGCCCCCGAGGACCAGGAGCGGGTGGCCGAGTATATGGGGGTGGTGGAAGGGGTTGGGTGCCGGCGTGTGGTGTTGGATCAGTATTTGGACGGAGTGGTGGACGGGTATCAGCGGCGGTATTGCCAGGATGCGGATGCCGGGGAGCAGGCATGTGATGGGTGTGATCCCGATTGGGAGGGGCCGGTGGAACCAGCCCGGGTTGGTAGCAGCCCAGTGCCGGGTGAGCAAGCCCCAGAGGTTCTGTGCCAGGCAGGCAGTGAGGCAGTGAGAGGGGCAGTCCGAGAGGCCCCGTGCGAGGCAGGCCGTCAGGCAGGCAGCATGGTAGCGAGAGAGGCCCCGTGCGAGGCAGGCCGTCAGGCAGGGAGAGAGGCAGGGAGAGAGGCCCCATGCCAGGCAGGCCGGCAGGCAGGGAGAGAGGCAGCGCGAGAGGCCCCGTGCCAGGTAGGCCGTCAGGCAGGCCGTCAGGCCGGGAGAGAGGCCCCGTGTGAGGCAGGCAGCATGGTAGCAAGAGAGGCACCCCAGGTCAGCCACAGCCAGCTGCCGTGCGAGGTCCCCAGGGAGGCTGCCAGTCCCACCCCATCCAATGATTCATTTTGCAGCCAGCCATCCATTCCCATGGTGGTATGGCACGCCCAGCAGGCACAGGCCCAGCAGTGGGCCGCCATAGATATCCAGCAGCAGCAGCATCGCACCCAGCAGGGTTTAGATGAGGAGATGGCCCAGGCCGAATGCATGCAGTGGCGGGACCGATGTTATATATGCGCCATGCAGGGGGGTGATGGTGACCATGAGTTATATACATGTCATCAGCCCCACAGCCAGGCCGCACGGGCATGGATGATCTGCGTGCGGCGGCAGGTCCAATATGCCCCGTACAGCGCGTGTTATTCGTGCGGCATGCCCCAATCCATATGCCATGGGTGGGAGCCGGGCCATGCATGTGAATACCGCGGGTTTTTGATCCCCATGGTCGCCATGATGTTATTCGGGCCATGGCAGGGCCAGATCGAGCCCGTCTGGCAGCGCCGGTTGCAGGGAATGGGGGTTGATAGGCAAGATGAGGCCCAGGTGGTCCAGTTTTTAGGGCAGGCGCACCCCAACCATGAGGGGCACAGCCAGTTATTTACATCATTTTGTTGGTTACGGCGGTTATGTCAGGAGATCGAGGTCGATCAGCATTGATATATATTATACAGCTGGTTTATATAGTATATTAGTGAATCCGTGGTTTGTACACAGGCATATATATATAATGAGACATCGGGATATATATATGATATTAACCGCATTAGGGAGAGGGCAGTCAGGGAGGTCCCACATCAGGCAGGCCATCAGGCAGGCAGCATGGCAGGCAGCAAAGCAGGCAGCAAGGCAGGCAGAACAGCAGGTAGTGAGGTAGGTAGTTAGGCAGGCAGTAAGGCAGGCAGTAAGGCAGGCAGTGAGGCAGGCAGTGAGAGTAGTGAGCTAGCCAGCAAGGTAGATAGCAAGACCAGCAGTAAGGTTGGCATTAAGGTTGGCAGTAAGGCAGGCAGAACGGCAGGCAGAACAGTACATAGAATAGGAGGTAGAACAGCAGGCAGAATGGCAGGCAGAGTAGCAGGCAGCGAGGCAGGCAGCGAGGCAGGCAGCGAGGCAGGCAGTGAGGCAGGCAGCTGGTAGTGAGAGAGGTAGATGGTGAGATAGGCAGCAAGGCAGGCAGCTGGTAGTGAGAGAGGTAGATGGTGAGATAGGCAGCAAGGCAGGCAGCATGATAGCAAGAGAGGCGGCCAGGGAGGCCCCATGCAACACAGGCCGTCAGGCAGGGAGAGCAGTGGCCAGGGAGGCAGTGAGGCAGGCAGTGAGGCAGGCAGCATGGCAGGCAGTATGGCAGGCAGCGAGGAATATAGTAAGGTAGGTAGTAAGGTAGGTAGTAGGCAGGCAGTGAGACAGGCAGTAAGATAGGCAGGATAAGGCCCAGGTAGTCCAGTATTTTAGGCAAGCGCACCCCAACCATGAGGGGCCCAGCCAGTTATTTATATTATTTTATTAATTATGGTGGTTATATCAGGAGATTAAGGTTAATCAGTATTAATATATTAGGTGAATGAATATATATATTTTAGGATACCATAATAGCGCAGAGATGTATATTATACAGTTAATTTATAGAGTATATTAGCTGAATCCATGGTTTATACCAGGCATATATATATAAATGAGACATCGGGAATATATATAATATTAACCATAGTTAGGAGAGAGGTAGGTAGTAGGTAGGGAGGAGGGAGCAAGATAGGCAGTAGGTAGACAGCAAGGTAGGTAGTGCAGTAAACAGTAAGGCAGGCAGCAAGACCGGCAGTGAGGTAGATAGTGAGGTAGGTAGCGAGGCAGGCAGTGAGGCAGGCAGTAAGGTAGGTAGTAAGGTAGGTAGTGAGGTAGGTAGTCAGGCCGGGAGCAAGGCAGGCAGTAAGGTAGGTAGTGCAGTTAACAGTAAGGCAGGCAGCAAGACCGGCAGTGAGGTAGATAGTAAGGTAGGTAGTGAGGCAGGCAGCAAGGCAGGCAGCGACGTAGTGAGGTGGGTAGTAAGGTAGATTATAATGCCCCAGGAAGGTCATGCATAAGGCAGGCAGTGCAGTAGGCAGTAAGCTAGG